GCTGTGAGGCAGGCTGGCTACAGGGTTGCGGGTTCTCCCTCCCAGACATTTTTCAGTTTCTCCTCTTTTTGCCTCCCTCTACTTGACATAACTGGGTCTCTTCCGATTGCTCCTCCGGACTCTGGGCCTCGCAGCTGGCCGGGGTTTCCAAGATTGACGCTCTCCTCCAGCTTCTCGGGCCCTTCACCTATGCTCTGCTCTGGACAGTTTCCCATGAAAACCTGCTTTAATCACATGGTGGGCTGGCCTCTGGGTCACCACCAATCAGGCAAAGAAAGACCAGTGTGAATGCTCCGGAAGCCCTTAAAAGTCAGGTTCCACACCCAGAACAGGGGCTGTTGAACAACATCTGGGACTGCCTATCCTTGTATAGGTGGCACATATTTGCCAGCAGAATAAGAATCTGAAATCCATCCTGGGAGTCACTAACCTCCACAACCTTCCAGCACCGGCTGAAGCTCCTCAGCTACGGAGAAGCGAGGCACCTGCCAGATGGGCCCGGAAGGTGGAGCGCACCACCCGGCGGGTCTGCAGCCGCCGCCCCGCCTCGCTCACCTGGGGGCAGTTTAAGGCGGGTCTCAAACGTTCTGATTGAACGCAGACACACAAACACAATACAAGCAGAGACACTGACCTTGAATACCTAAACCTGTAGCAGAAAACCCAGGTCTTTTTAATTCTTTTAACCTTTGCACGCTTTTTCTTTCAGGATCATTAGAGCCATGGTGGCAGATGTACTTGACCCACTTAATGCCTGGTCATTTTAGCAGCTTTGCCCATCACTGACCAGCTCTCCCGGGGCAGTGGGTGGGGAGGGCAGAGAGGGAGGATGATATAAGAATCTAGGGAATTTTAGTAGTTATTATACAGTATCCATGTCTGAAAGTGATCTTATGGACATTTTTCTAGTGAAGTCTTTCATTTTTAGGAAACACAACTTTAATTAATAAGAATCATTAAAGGCCTGCACTTGAACTAGGCAGCGCAGGAAAACAATTCCTCCTAAGTGACTGACTCTTGTGAAAGTGAGAACCAAGACGCTGGCCGAGTGGGCAAGAGCTTAGGTCGGAGGCGTTACCTGAGGGAGGGACGGTCAGTCAGCGCCTCACAAGGAAGTGTTTCCGTGGAAAACTCTGTGACCTTTCTCCAGTCCCCACAGGTTACCATTAAAGGACAATAGACAGCAGATTCCCTTCTTAATTAACATTTTTATTAAATAACTCATTTCAAATAATGGTTAAATTCTCTAAATTTATATCATTCTATTAACCATTATCTAATCTCATTAACCTTGAAATCCCAGTCTTAACTACCCAATTCTATACACCATGGTACTATCTACTAAACTAATTAAGTGACCTTCAAACTATTTCTCCTCCATATAAAAGCATTCCTTTTTTTTTTTGTGCTCACAGTTCTTTGTTAGATCTCTCTCGACAAAATTTCCGTGAATCCAGTTGTTGAATGTCCTTGATCTAAGAAATTCAACAAAATCAAAGCATACAGAGCTGTCTCACTTGATTTAAACTGACTGAGTTTTAAAGCCCTCTCTGACTCTGTAACTGTCTGACAGCTCGCTGCCTCTTTCTTGGTGTAAAGATCCTGTGACTGAAAGGGAACTCCACTTCTACAGATGTTACGAGCCAAGAACAAGAGCTGGATCCCTGTGACCTCTCCCTGATAGGACGGGGCTGGGTGGGGCTGGGAAGACAAAGACTAGAGCTCCCTCCCACCCTCTGGGTTCTGAGGAAGAGGAGGGAGGAGGAAGAAGAGGAAGAAGAGGACTGATTTGAGGTAACTCTAGTGCCTGCTCCTCAATCCCCAGGCTGGCTGAAGGAACGAGGACCTTACTATTAGTTCCGGCTTTGCTTTTCCTTCCTTTCCACACTCCGGCCAAGTGAAAAGAGACTGCAGAGCTGCCAATTCCCACTTCCTTAGAAGTGGGCACACAAAATGTGTTTATTTTCTTTAGTCCCACCTTTAGAGCCCCCAAACTCAAGACTCTCTCAACTCTCTACATGTGTGCTGTAAACCATGGAGACAGGCAGGGTTCTCTCGCTGAAGTGGTTTGTACAAACCCCAGAAGGCTTCATCCGTGCTATACTAACCTCAGGCCTCAGGAAGGCCATCTTACGCACAATCGAGGGAAATACTGAAGCAAAATTTGATTTTTTTTTAAAAAGTGAGAAGCTAAATAAAATGAGTATTTTATCTATTCAAAAACATCCTGGGTTGTAGTATACTTGTTTGACCAGCCTAAATTAAGCTGAAAAAATGCAGTTAATTTGAAACCTAATAGCTCTATAATCATAAGATTATAATTTTATAGAGGAGACTTAAGAAGAAGGGAACTACTAATGATACTTAGTTCCTTTGTCAAGTGGGATCAGGGGAGAGGAACGAACTTTATAGTTTTGAACTTTATACACTTTTATATGATTAACAAGGAGAATATTATTACTTTTATAACCAGAATTTAGAAGGAAGCAAGAAAAGAAGAAAGGAAACAAATAAGACAACACCTGTCCCCTCCCTGAACCCGGACCTCACAGAGAGGCCTGCAGGGCTCGAGCATCCAGCCTGGGGAGGTGGCCGAGGCAGCCTCTGGCTATGGCGGAGCCCCCACCACACACACCTGCACAGAGAGCATCGGGGGTGCAGGTATTGGGTACTGTCGAGGAGGGGCTGCTTGTCGCGTGCTGACTGGTCTGCTCTCAGGTCTAAGGGCCGAGCACAGAAATAGGCCCTGGTTGTTTGTGTAACAAAAAGAAAAAAAACAAGCAGCAAACAGATGGAACAAGTGAGATAAATCTAGAACGTGACTATTTTTCTTGAAAAAAGCAGTCAGGCAGTGTCAAGAGAAACTGATGTCAAATGTCTTCGGAGAGAGGGAAGGAGAGAGTTGGAAAGGAAATGGAAAGAGGCGGCAGGACAACGGTTCCAATTCAAACGGCAGGCTTGTACCCCAACGCTCCAAGTTCCGAGACAAACGAACTGGTCATGCCATTGCAGACACATGCCATCTGGCAGCGAGGGGAGATGCCACTTCTCCAGATGCTGTTAATGCCCCACAGCAGCCTAGCGCAGTCCTGCCCGACTCGCAGTGCACCGGTGTTGCCTCTCTGGCAGGTGCACCAGGCGTCGGGTGAGGTGCGTGGAGCACGCTGGGGGCTTCGCAGTGACGGAGTAGTCCCAGAGGGCTGCTCCAGGTGTCACCTGGTTTGTGTCTGCTTGGAAGGATGCATCAACGCTGAACCTGTCTATCATTCGTTGAGGACAGAGCCTCCCAGTTGTCTCAGATGCACAACTGTTTTCTGCCCTAAATAATATCAAATGGAGGGGAGCCTGCTCTTCCTTTACATATACATATAGTTCCTCAGTTTAAAATGTGGGGCTCACTGTCAGGAGAAGTCTCCCAGTGAGAAAGCAAACGGAAGCAGAGGAAACAGACACCAACTCTGTGAACAGTGGAGATGGCCGACGGACAAAAGCAAACACTTCTATGGGGTAACTAGTGTGCATAGCTGTTGATGGCTGCTACTCTGGGAGTACATGTATTTAGCATCCACAATGTGAGATACAACCTACAATAATCAGCAAAGAATCCCAGAGTTAGCAGCATCCTCTAAGTCTTCTGTTCCGACCTCTTATCTAACGGGGTAGTGTGTGCTTGTGTGGGGTGGTTTGTCTTTCCTAAAACAGTTGATGATATCATGTTGGTTGCTCAGTGAAAAGAACTAAACTCTTCACGCCCTTCACATCCCGGATTGTTCCTCTGATCATCAAAGGATATCTGTTTCATGTCTCTCCTGCCTGGCTCAGCCCAACCCATGAGACAGACTGCCTTGGTTGGCTGCCACACTGCCACGTGACCAAGCCTCCCGCTCATCTCACCTGAATGCCCTCTCCTGTGAGAGCTGAGCAGGACTGGATCTGCCAGACTCGGTCTCGGATGGTGTGCAGGTTCAGCCCTTCCGCAATTTCTGAGGCGGGGGCTGCTGTGAGCAAATCCTGCTTATTAGCAAAGATGAGCACCGGAACGCAATTTAGCTTTTCTTCCTCCAGTAATTCAGCTAGTTCCTGGATCATTTTGAGAATGGATGGGGAGGAAAGGACAAAAGCTATGACATTTAAACATTCACTTCTAATGAGAAAAAATACAAAACAGTTATGCTGATTTATTAGCAACTTTCAAGAACAGTGGTTCTCAAACCTGAGCCTGCAGAACCCCCTGGCGGAGTGCTGGGCCCACCCCAGAGACACCGACTTCGGGAAGACTGAGCATGGGCCCAGGCATCTGCATTTTTAACTAGTTCCCCTGCAGTAGTTCTGCTACAGGGATTCGCAGAGCACACTTTGAGAAGCACTGTTCAAGGGAGAACACAAGTTGTGGTGAGAAACTTAAAACTTAGTGAAGGTTGTTATCTGCAAATAACTTTCAATGAATATATGTATATACACACATTTTTAAAAATATAAATTGAAAATGACAATTGCTTTAAAGGTTATAATTCTATTTTATCGATCTTTGTCTCCAAAACATGCACATGCATTATACTTCATCAAACCCACATTCTAAAATACCTGTGTTACTCCATCTGGCAAGGTCTCTGATCTGTAGGCTATTGGTTGGGGTCTAAACTGAATGTCGTTGATCCTGTCTGCAGTCAGTATAGGAGAGGGTGTATACTTACCTAAATTCAAGGAGCCACCTCTCCCCATTAAATCCACATTTTGAGTCTACTTAAGACACTTGGGCCGTCAGAGAGAACTGGATGGCTCAAGAGGCAGAAAGTTACCCAACACCCTTCCCCTTCAAGCTCATGTTTAGCATTAGTTCACGGGAGTGATGATCCAGAAATCATCGAGGTGTACGGGGTTTTCTCCCAAGAGTCTGGAGAGTTCTCAAACTAATTTCCAGGAAAAAGGAACATAAACGTGGGGACTGCTACATGTGGAAGGCCACCTGTGGTAGCTCAGGACACAAGCCAAGGACTCTGCCATGAAGTGTAACTGTGCTTCTCCAGAGAGGCCCACTCTACGCCTTCCTTCTTATCAGTGTGCTCAGTCCGAGGTCGATCCCACTGCTTCTCTATGTGCAACTGCGCACACAAGCGGCCCTGTGTAATCGTGTTGACACGGACTCTGCATTTGAAGCCATGTTTGGGTTCAAAGTATACCTATCTCTTGGCTTGGAAACAAGAGCAGCTTAGTCTTGGCTTGTACATTTCCTCCCATCCCTTTGAATTTGTTAAAGTTGCCCCTGGATCAACTAAGCTGACATTGAAAAACATATATAGAAATAATAAGTGAATTGTTCCTCTGGGTCATTCCTACGTGGCTGGGAAGGAACCTGAAGACCTTGGGCATGGTGGTAAGTCCCATTTGCTTATACCTTGTTTGTTCAATTTGATTAAAACTAAAAGGCCCCTGGCTGGCGTAGCTCAGTGGATTGAGCGCGGGCTGGGAACCAAAGTGTCCCAGGTTCGATTCCTAGCCAGGGTACATTCCTGGGTTGCAGGCCATAACCCCCAGCAACCGTACATTGATGTTTCTCTCTCTCTCTCTCTCTCTCTCTCCCCCCTCCCCTTCCCTCTCTCTAAAAAAAAAAACAACAACTAAAAGGCTTACTCCAAAAAACTGTTTAAAGAATTCTGAACTAATTTCTTTTTAGGCAACTGGTAATTCTGCCTGCTTGCCAGAATGACTGTCTTGTTTAATCTGCAAAGACTGAGCAAAAAACAAAAACAAAAAACAAACAAAAAATCCTCTCTCTCTCTCGTACATTTACGAGGCAGATTAATGAATACCCAGTTATTTGTGTAACAGCTCAAAAGAAGAATCATTTACCTGACCCGTCTCTTCAAATCTTTTTCTGTCTGCACTGTCAATGACGTATATCTGCAATGTAGGAGAAGAAGGTTACTTCAATGAGCGGCTGCATGAAAGACACGGCACCTTCTATGGAGGGAGCAGATGATCCTGCCAGCCAATTTCACATGCGCGCAGCACACAGAAATTGAGCCGGTAACTCTTACCTCACCTGTGGATGCAAAATAACCTAATTAATTAATTAATTAATCAATCAATCAATGAACTGGGAAGTGCCCCAATATACCTCCAGCAAAGCTCCAAAATAAAAAGTCAGTTGAGTCGAACAGGATGAAAATAGCTTCATTTACTGGGCATTCACTAAACATTCTTGCAAGATTTACCACATTAATCCTCGTTACAACTCTGTGAGATAGAGCTCATTATTTTCCCATGTTATACATAAATAAACATAAGCTCAAAGAAGTTAAATAACTTGCTCCAGTTACATCAGGTACTGACAAAACTGGGCTTCAAGCCCTGGCTGGCGTAGCTCAGTGGATTGAGCGCGGGCTGCGAACCAAAACATCGCAGGTTCGATTCCCAGTCAGGGCACATGCCTGGGTTGCAGGCCACGGCCCCCAGCAACTGCACATTGATGTTTATCTCTCTCTCTTTCTCCCTCCCTTCCTTCTCTAAAAATAAATAAATAAAATCTTAATATTAAAAAAAAAAACACTGGGATTCAAACAAGTGTACCTCACAGTAAACACCAGAGTCGCTCTTTTTTTTTTTTTTTTTAAGATTTTGTTTATTTATTTTTAGAGAGCATGGAAGGGAGGGAGAAAGAAAGGGAAAGAAACATTGGCCCGCAACCCCGGCATGTGCTCTGACTGGGAATTGAACCTATGACCTTTCTGTTGGCAGGCTGGAGCCCAATCCACTGAGCCAGGGCCAGAGTCGCTCTTAAGCACTCCGCTAATGCTGCATCCCAAGATGTCTGGAATGGACGGTGTTTTGAGACATCTACAAATCCTAGTCTTTGGACATCGTTACTCTGAAAGTGTCATTTGCAGTATTAACCATATGCTGACCTCATGCGCTGAGGCAGGAGACCCAGTGGTCTCTCCCTTCCTACCCTCACAGGCTGTTCGGAGGTTAGGAGCAAGTACTGGAGATAGCAAGGGCATGCACAGTCTTTGCCAGAGTAAGAGAAGTCTAGAGATACATCGTAAATTATAAATCCAAAGCTTTCCCTCCTGTTGCTGAATTTTTTAAATTTTTTATTTTTATTGATTTTAGATAGAGAAAGGGAGAGAGAAACAAACATCAATTTGTTGTTCCACTTATTTATACATTCATTGGTTGCTTCCTGTATCTGCCCTGACCTGGGATAGAACCTGCAACTTGGAGTTTTGAGACCACGCTCTAACCAATGGAGCTATGGGGCCAGGGCTCACTGAATTTTATTTGTTGCACAAACAACATCCTATAACAATAAAGAAACTAGGGGAAGACCAAAAAATAAAGCCACCTATAGTTACAGAACCCAAACATATTAATTTCTTATGAAAGTTCTCTTTTAATTCTTCATATGAAATTTTAAAAGGAAAATCAGATATAATTTTGTAGTAGTTTTAAAAATTAAATGATATATTAAATGTTTTCCCAGTTGCTAATCTTAAAAATTATCAAATTTTCTAACTTCCTTTAAAAAATTTAGAACTGTTCTTAAATTAATGGTACAATGAAAACACTCTTTTTCCACTTATTTATACATTCATGGGTTGATTCTTTTTTTTTGTATTAGTTTAAGTTTATTTTTATTTATTTTTTCAACTTGTTTTTAAAATTTTAATTGTTGTTCAAGTACAGTTTTCTGCCTTTTACCCCCCCCCCAGCCCCCCCCATCTCCCTCCTGTTTCCATCCCCCCCTTGTTCTTGTCCACGTGTCCTTTATACTTGTTCCTGCTCATGGGTTGATTCTTGTACGTGCCCTGACTGGGGATCAAACCTGCAGCCTTGGTGTATTGGGATAATGCTCTAACCAACTGAGCTACCTGGCCAGGGCCTGAAAATGCCCTTTTAAAAGAGCATACAATGAGTCCTCATTTAATGTCATTTATAGATTCTGCAACTTTAAGCGAAACTACAAATAACAAAACCAGTTTTACCACAGACTAATTGACATGAGTTAAGTTCCTACAACATCTCATCAATGTTACAATCAAACAATGTAAACAAAATGACATTATTCGAGGACCTGCTGTATTCATTTAAAAACAACAAAAAGCAATCAACTCTCACTTTACATGCCTTAAATGACATAAACTGATATACTATAATGCACATAGACATTTCCGTATGCAGGTCAAATTTTGTGCTACTTGAAAACTTGTTTTCTTTTGAAAGAAAACAATTAAAATTCCTTTGCTTAATGCACTTTCATTTAGAATCAATCACCAGTGCTAAATATACCAGGAACCAAGTTTAGCCTTTCCTCTGAAGAATATCCTGTTTCTACCTGTGTCTTCCATGGAGAATCATAAAGGAAGAAGGATGGATGTGTTTGGTCTCAGTATTTTACTCTTTTGCAGCCTTATTACTATTGTTGTTAATGTTACTCTGGACCCAATGTCAGTAAATGCATTAATGGGCTCTGCACAGCACAGAGACCCAAAATTCCACTGTTTTCCCCCAGTGAGGCTCACATTTTTCAAGTAGGAGAAATGGTGTAAACACAGATACAGAAAGAAGAAATGTAATGGGAAAGTGACCCTCAATATAAAAGACCTAATGGGAATTATCTGAGCGTCCACAGTGGATTAGGATTATCTGCAGGCAGCAATCGACCAAAATGTGTGGGAGGGAAGAGGGTCAGGTGATCACGGGAGGGTGTTTGGGCTCAGAGGGCTTCCCGGAGGCAGCATGCAGGTCCCTGGGTAAGAAAGGAATTACAAAGCAGGAAAAAATGTGCTTGCGAGCAAAGGCCATGAGTAGCTAGTTCAGGGTGGAAAAGAAGAGGCTGAGACAAGGCTGAAAACACAGACACACCGTTAAGAAACTGGTATTTGATGTGACAGAAAACAGTTGGGAGAGGACAATACAGAACGGGAAGGTTTTAATGATGAGAGAGATGATACCAGAGAATCCAGTGGCTGAAGATCAATGAAAAGAAAGTTTTAACTTTATTTGTAATTACTTGCCACATTACTTGCTAATTACTGCTCAGACATAAAATTTCATGGGAATACTTCCATTAAAATATTCAAAAGGAAGGTTTTCCTAAACTATATTCTTCCTATCATTTAGCATATTTTTTTATAAAATTGGACAATTACTACACAATAATTCCAGGAAGAAGCCTATGAAATAACTGCCCCACAGATCTGGGGCTGAACGAAAGAGCGGTGAGCACCAGGTCGTCTGCTGACACACCAGGGAGCGCTTCTGCAGTGACGTGAACTTCTCTGGGTGCCCCCCCCCCACCCCCCACCAACCCAGGCTGCCCAGTATCTGTTTAATTCTGGTCAACAGATAAAGATAAGGATAGCCTCGTCTTTTTTTTTTTTAAATAATATAGCTGTTAATCTAATCATACATTTTTTAAATCCAGAACTAAATAAATAATCAATAAAAAATACTCAAAGTATCAGATGAAGTAAAACACTTATAGTACTTCTGACTGATCTCAAAACATTATGGACCTTCAAAAAATCAAGATTCATAAATGAATAACCAATAAAAACAGTCAGAAAGTGTGAGATAAAGTGAAATATCTATAGTGCTTCTGACTGACTTTAAAACATTATGGACCTTCAACGATCAAGTTTCATAAACTTATTCTAAAATAAAGTTATTCATGGTACTGGGAATGATACTTTAAGCAAAGCCAATCCATGCCTTCCTTGGCAATTGCTTTGAAATCGTTCTTCGGTTGAGGGGGGAAGACCAAGAGTAAAAGGGTTTTTTCTCTGATGCAAGTTCAGCCTGCTCGGGATTACCCGATTTCCCAGGGACTGTCTGTGCGGCGCAGGAAGGGAGGGCTCTTTGTTTCTCCTGCTGCTAGTCCTCCTCCCTCCTGCTGCCACCTTTTGGCCATTTTATTGCTCCCATGTATTTCTCCACCAGAGGGACAGGCAGAGACAAGAGATGACACTAAAATGCGTGGCTTTTTAAACAAATGTTGCGGTGAAAGTCTAAAGGGAGGTTGAAACTAACACACGAGGTTTCTGGACAACATGTGGTTTTCAATTACTCGGGCCCAGTAGCCTGGCCCCTCCAGGGCGAGGGACACTGCGGAAAGGCTGCAGGGAACAGCTGCCTGCGAGCTCACTTGGTATCTTGCACTTTGAGTGTGGGAATGATGACAAAGTTACTTTGTTTAAATTATGTTGCATTTAAACACAAAACTGGTAATAATAATGTTTGTGGGGCTTAGTGATCATATGAATATACCTTGAAAAAAATGATGTATTTTTATCAAAAGCCTGTTATTTCCTGGCCTAAAAGATGGAAGAGACCCTGTCCCCTCCTCTCTACCATCCCTCAGGTCTTAGTTCTCAGTCACTTCCCCCAGGTGTCCTTGGGGTCATCTTCCCTGGGAATAACGTGGGCACTTTTAGCAGCTGCCCTGACTCTTTCAAACTCCTAGAGAGCTGTTTAATGCTCTACAGAAATCTTCTCCTGTAAAGGGTCAGGTAGTAAATATTTTTGGTTTTGTGGCTCACACAGGCTCTTTCACAACCATTGAAACTTTGCTGTCGCAATGTGAAAGCAACCATAAAATACAGGGTGGACAAAATATGTAAGAAAAATTTAATTTTTTTTTAAAAAGCAAGCTACCATTTGAAAAAAAAAACTGGGATGGGCAAAAGTAGGTTTACAGTTGTGAGTATGTAAAATTGAGTTTATACTTGTATCATTATTTATTAATTACTACATTACTTATTTGCATTGCCACTGTAAACCTACTTTTGTCCACCCTTGTACGTAAACAAGTGGATGTGGCTTCTTACGACAGAACTTTATTTATGGACACTGAAATGTGAGTTTCATTTCATGTTCATGTGATGAAATCTTATTCTTCTTTTGATTGTTTTCAACCATTTAAAAATATAAAAACCACTACTGGCTCACAAGCTATAGAATAACAGAAGGCAGGCTGGATCAGTTTAGAGCTGCATCACCGCTCCACAGTGAGAATTTACTGCACC